ATCTTAGATTGCCGAGCTCTGCAAACGGATGTTGCAGTTAGATTCCTATGTCTTGCAGCTGCCCCTCTACATTTTGCAGCTGGAAAATAGCTGGTTGTGTTGCGCAGGCTTCCATTTGCGTCTGTTGATTTTGTGTGCTCTTGTTGATTGTTTTTAAGCCAAAATTTGTATGAGGGCTGCCAACTCTGTCTGTAGTGCCGCAAGGCTAGATTTAAGTAGCTTATTTTTGGTGATTATTGTTTTATATTTCTCGTTTTTTGTGATTGGTGTGGTCGCGTCAGATGCGAAATCAGCCCAGCTTACCGTCATAGTGGCAGGTGGAGCTTGCTGCTGCTGGTGCCCCAGAGGTCCAGCACTGGCTTGACCGGGAGTCTGTGACTCTGCTGCTTTCCGCCTCGGTTGGTTTTTTGCTCGTTTCCGCGACCTTGAACTCGATCTTGGTTTGCGTGGAAGCGGAGACTTGGAAGCGGTGCGCGCTGCATTTCCCTAGTGGCGTGCTGGGGTGCTGTTTCAGCTCGTCGACTGCGGCTTTCTGTCGTCACAAAGCTCCGATTCCTCTTCTTTTGATGAAAACCAGCGTAACCCATTACGCTTAGCACTGGGTGCACGCTTTGGTTTTCAGGCAGTCGCTCTCGGCAGCTTGAGTCTTTGTGTACAGCTGCGGTCGCCTGGGACGTGTTCCCCTGCGCACGAGGCACACTTTGGCACGCACGCATGTGCGTCAGTTGGGTCTCTACTTCCACATATGCCAATAGGGTTGATTGGGCGAGTTGGTGATACGTGACTATTTCGAACCATTGCTGCTGTACGCGTAGGCTCATAGCAAACTAGTCTAAAGAGGTGTAGAGAGTGCGTGTTTCACTAATCCAATTGACCATTCCTGGGTCCATTCGATGGAAGCCATCTTCCACAATCAGGTTGCTAGGCTCAAGTCAGCTGGGTATCTGATGCGTTCTTGGTTTCCGTGGCCGAAAGTAGCCACAGAAAACGGAGAGCTGAAGAAGGCCAAAGAAATGGTGCAGCAGGACGTGACAACAGCAACCGCGAAAAAGAAAGAGAAAAATAGCTGTTGTTTCTTACATGCATCAGGTTACCCACCGCCTAAAGAAGGTGGGGCAACGCATAGGAGTGCGTGTAGCTTTCTCTGCGCCTCACAAGATTTCACAGCTAACTAGGCTGACATGTGCCGCTAGACGCAAGAAACAACTGTGCTAAACAAACCACATAAGCCGTTTTGTCAATTGCATTTGCAACGTTGTTTGCATGATCCTACTTTCATGCGGTGCCTGTTACATTGGGCAAACTCGAAGGAGCCTCAATGACAGATTGCGTGAGCATGCGTGCAACGTTAGCAGCGGCAATGATGGTTTTGTAGCCCAGCATGTCACTAGATGTGGCTGTGAAGTAGAATTTGATAACACAGTAATACTTTACAAACACAAAGATGAACGCACAAGGCTTATAATTGAGGCAGCATACATAGCACTTGAACAACTGACTTGCGTCAGCAAACCATCGTTAGCTTTGTCCGATAAGAAGCTAGCATTTTAAGACAGTAGCAGATGCCATAGAAGTTAAGTAATCACTAAAAAGCACAGTAGGCGTTGGTAAGGTGGGGCTGACGTACGTACATAGATTTTTTATCGGTTCTGTTATTTTGGTCCGTGATTTGGTCTTATTGTATGTGCCATGATACTGTTTCATCTGTCCGTATATATTTCATAGTTTTCTGAATAAAGTTTCAGTTCGTAGTAAGCACTTGTCCCTGTCTTTCTGTCCATGTCTAAGTAGAGCACTCTTATTTCGAAACATCCACATATGAGGCAGACGCGAGCGTCTAGTCGGGGGCACACATCCATACGATGAGCCTTGCTGTAGCAGGTTTTGCACACTTGCGCCGTGGCTCGGTATGGGTGGCACGCCGATTCTCCTCCGCAGTAATACAGGAAACGCGAAAAGGTCTGGCCACCGAATATGATCATCGCGCTTTTCGTTTCTCCCATCATACGGGCTTGTATGATTTCCACTTCTTGCGTTCGCACTCGCAAGTTTGCCATCAGCGTTTCAGAAGGCGTGCGGGATGCTATGCCATGTATCACTCAACCCCCTGAGGCCTTCTTTACCAGTCGCCACGTACACATTTAGGGCATGTGCACGACCGTTTATTGTGAGCGCGGTTATGCGACAAAGCCTCTCCGCAACTTCTTACTCCAATGCTGATATAGTTACAATGTTTGATCCTGGTTTTATCCGCAACAGAAAGCGCTCACCTGTTACGTTGTTTTGTCAAGCTGCGGTGACTGCCGCTGCCTTCTCCGAAGTAGTGATTGAGTGTAGTGGTAGGCCTTGGTGAGGCCTAATTACAATCTTCAGAGCATTCTTTGAAAGTGGCGGGAGCTCGACGCCCCTTCTTCGTTGGGTTCTCGGTCAAGTTTCCTTTGCCCCTTCTTCGGGTCTCATCTGTCGCTGTTTCTTTTCTCTCGCTTGATGTTTTTTTCGGCTTTAAGGTGAGAGTGGTGTGCCAGTCGTCCTTGTCGTCATTCTCTCGAATGTTTCGGAGTGCCGTGTCGTTACGTTGTGGCCCTGGCTCTGGCATGTCGAAGGTGTGACGAGGTCCATGCCCTCAACGGTCGTGATACTTGAAGTGCTTGCTGCTGATGGTGTCGAAGAAATGGCCTGCGGCTCCATTTCTCTTGCAGGAAGCTGAGTAGTTGTCGATGAGGCGGCGTCGAGGAGGCAGGCGGCGTCGGAGCTGCCACGCCGAGGTGGCGTTTGGCGCAGGTCGTCCACCACTTGAGCTCACTCTTTTTGAAAGTCTGCGGTCCGTACGTTCGTCGGAAGTCCACTTGTTTGGTGTCCAAACGTTCCCCTGAACTTCACGTATCGTTTGGTGTCACTTGTACGATGGGTAGACACGCGTTTCTAGCAGAAACACATAAATAATATGGAGAGCGACGTGAGCTACGTAATGCTCGTATAGACGCTCGACGCGTTCCCAGCAGGTGCGCCGGAATTTTCTATGACAACAAGATAAGTTGAGTCGCTCTCCACCTTTGTGATAGGCTAACGTCAAATCTGTGCAAGACATGTTCCTCGGTGAAACGTAGAGAATATATTCAATGTGACATCCGAACGAATGCTGCAAATAGTGCGCTTCCATGCCGGTAAATATTTGAGAGTATATTGAAGTGCTTCTAAGTGCCGGTGAAATATTTGGGCATTCCAGCCTACAGCATTGGTGTAACTTTGTCTCTAACTTGTGCGTCTGAACTTCGACACGGTAACGGACTTTGAACCGTATGAGTGTCAGCAACCAGAGTGTCTATCTGACACGACCTCTACATCCTTCGGCATTGTCAAGTTGCATGCTCTGTGGACTAGTTTAACAGTAGCAACCGAAATGGAAGCAACTTTCTGAAACAGAGGGGAAAAATGAGATGACTGCGACGAGCAGACCACAGGGACAAAACCCTGAGCGCCCAATCGAAACAAAAGGGAAGAAAGAAGATGGTGCTGGGAGCGTGTGCGGGCGGCTTCAATGATTGTCGGGATTTTGGACCCTGTGTCCGGGGCGCTCGCCGTGGTTGAGCGTGACCTGGATGCCAGCAAGACGTCAGGGTGCAGGACGTCTACGTAAGCGCAAGCCAGCGAGGTACAAGAGAAGGCGTGTTCCCACCATGTATGCTACCGCGATGGATTCAACGCCACATTGGCCGGTGCTGCGGCCACCGCAACGACTGTGCGCGTGAGTGTGGTCTTGTAGACTTGGTGTCGTGGGAGTGAAGCGCGCTGACCGTAACGACGTAGACTTTCTTCTCGCGTGGACAGGAACTTCCCAGTAGACCGTCTGCAACCTCGTATCGGCCTGGTGTTCTTTGTGCAATTTTTTCATGTGTGTTCTTGTCCTCATCCGATATAAAGAACGTCGTCTTGTTATCAGGTTGTCTTGAGTGCGACCTGGGCCCCCTTACTCACAACAGCGTTCAAACAAGGTAAATTGTTCGAGCCACACAGACACACTGCGCATTTGCGCATCTTGATTTCTTAATGCTGACTAGAGAGCTCTTTATTACATTTATATATGTAAAAATATGTAAAGTTATATACTACATAAATATGTGAAGCGGATATTATTTTCATTCTAAAAAAGAAAAAACGTAGAAACCACTTTGCATATATGACATTGGCAATCGAGACCTATTCAGCGAATGATACAAAAGTTTTAGAAAATAACGTTATGTAAAGGTTTTGAAGAAGACTTGTTGTAACGAACATTTACGCAACATGTAGAAAACTTCCTGTAAAACTTTTATTGAACGTTACATAATATACCCAAATGTCGATATCTTTCTCGTTATTGTGAGTTTTCACGACGTTTAGTATTTCTCGGGTAATAGAATGTGTTAACCCGGCGGGCGTAGACGGCATTTTTCTGCTGCGAACAACTCCAGCTGCTAATGCCGCTTGAAAAATGCAGACTAGAGACAAGAAATCTAAGACCTCAGCATTCTCGATGCCCAAACTCTGTGTTTCTCTCATGTTGTTTGGGTACCACACGTTTTGACGCAACAAGCTTTGTAGGCAGCCACGCAAGACTCGTTGGCTGGCCATCGTGGCTACAGGTGGCTTGCGGAGAAGGCATCATGATGGCGGATTCCGCAGCAGGCGACGTGGTTGTCTCCACCCTTCAAAGCGCCGGAGGGGGAGGGGGGGCGCTATCGAGGAACCCCAAATCCCCTGGCGGAGAACGACGACACAACTCAGCTGCTAGCGCCCAGACCAGAGCCGTGAATTCCCTTTGGCAGAGTTCGGCGCTCTTTTAATCTCGCCGCCAGTCTGCGAACGCCTGCGCTGCAGTCTGGCAACAGCGCCCTTCTGCTCCGCCGATGCCCTTTTGTGCCGAGGTTTCACGTGATACTGTGCCCGTGACGTCGCTGTCGGCATTTCTGCTTCCTTTGTGACCACTGCGTGGAACATCGTGGACCTGCATGGACGCCGCAATGGGGGCTTGCAGCGCAGTAAGCTGCTCTAACCTGCTGAAGAAAGGGTTCGCACTTTACCGTTTTCCTCAGGGCGACAGGAATCGAGCACGGCACCGTGTTTGGGAAGTACGAACGAAGTGGGATAAATTGAAAGCAAACGACAACTCCCGTCTTTCTGGGGTAAGTGTGAAAATAAGTAGGCCCAATTAGATGCGAATTCATAGTGTGCATTTGTGCGCACCCGTTGCAGGTTCACTTTGAGTTCGATCAGTTTGAGTCCTTTCGCAAAGGACCGAAGAAGCTCAAGTGCACAGCTGTTCCGACGCTGTTTCTGCATTGCGCGGACAAGAAGAAGCGGAAACCTCCTTAGATAAAAAAAGATGAGCGCCATGCGGCGGCGTTGTCACAGCTTGTTTACAGCGGTGACTGATTTTGTGTGATAAGCAAACGCTCTTCGCACAGCAGGCCCATGGTGATATGGCTCTGACAATGATGGCTCGCGGTGCTTGCGTCTAATACTAACTCATAATAAAACCTCTAAAATGCAGTGTGTGCTGCATCGACGTAGTTGTTCTAGGAGTTGTATTCAGCTGTGATTGACGAAAAGAGTTGGGGGACGGCGCAGTGGCTCAGTGAAAATAGTGCTCGGTGGCTGACCCGCAATACGCACATTTCGTCCCTACCTCAGTGGTTTAATTTTGATGAAGGCAAAATAATTGAAGCCCGTGTACTGTACGATGCCAGCGCATGACAAACAACCCCAGGGGGTCGAATTTTTTGCATCTTTCCACTACGGCGTGCCTCGGAGATCGAGACACTGAACCTCGTGATGAAAACCACGTAACGTGTATTTTTTATTATTTCAAGACTACAACATCTCTAAGGTGAGGCAATTTTCATTCAGTTATTAAGGAGGAGTAGGACATTAGAGCACCATCTCACTGCGGACATGACATCAAGTGCGTGTAATACAGTTCACGTTTTACAAAACCAGTAATATTGCATAAGAGTTTCTTTAGAAACAGCAGCCGGGAAAGCAATGTTTAGTTAATCAAACCTACATCACTTCCCATGAACAGTGAAAATCAGTCTTACTGTTATCATGCAGGATATGACTAGACCCAATTGTAAAGCTGTGCCAGTCATTGAATGTCGTGTACATTTCCAACGGAACGGGACGCTTAGACGTGCATACCACCCTTCAGGTCGATTCAACACCGATGACCTTTCCTGCTGATTCTGTGCTTGTGGCTGCCTCAAGTCAATGGTGCCCATCTCACCAGGTAAACATCTGCAAAATTAGCGTTTGTATCAGTTATTTGATTGGCACTGAAAGCTTAAACCCTTAGATAGATTCAAGCCTCCTGACCCCCCCCCCTTCTGATTCTGTGCTCGTGGTGGCCTCATGTCGAAGATGGTAAAAAGGTAAACTTCTTCGCTATTTACGCTAGCATCAGTTGTTTGGCCTCAACATGTACTGACTAGCTTACTCTGCACACTTCAGACCGATTCAAGGCCTGTGACCTCCCCTGATACTGTGCTCATGGCAGCCTCATGTCGATTGATTGATTTATTTATTTATTTATTTATTGATTGATTGATTGATTGATTGATTGATTGATTGATTGATTGATTGATTGATTGATTGATTGATTGATATGTGTGATTTGACGACCGTGCACCCAACTCTGAGCACACGGGCCTACAACATTTGCGCCTCCATCGAAAATACAACCGCCACAGCTGGTATTCGATCCCACGACCTGTGGGTCAGCAGCCGAGTACCTTAGCCACTAGGACCTACCGCGGTGGGCAGCTGCCTCATGTCAAAAGTGCCAATCTGAACAGGTAAACTTCTTCGCTATTTACTCTAGCATTAGTTGTTTGGTTGCAGTATTTATTGACTAGCTTTGTCCACGCACTTCAGATAGATTCAAGCCAAGCAACCTCTCCTGATTCTGTGCTCATGGCTGCCTCAAGTCAATGATGCCCATCTCACCAGGGTAAACTTCTTGGCTATTTACTCTGGCATCAGTTGTTTGTTTGGGGCATATACTGACAAGCTTAGTGAACAGTCCTCAGATAGATTCAAGCCCATCAACTTCTCCTTACGATTCTGTGCCCTTGGCTGGCCCAAAACAAGTGTGTTCATTCCATCAGGTAAACTATGAAACTTTTCTGAGTGCGTGTGTTCTATTGTGTTGGCCGAAATCACTAAAGCTCTCGTGTTGTACTGTAAGTATTTTCACTTGTGCTGACTTTCAGGCAGCTAATTTTATGGTTACCACATCTGCCACATTCAGTGACCTATTAGGCGTTTCTTTTCGAGAAACCCATACAACAAAGAACACATCTGCAACGCATGAACACACACCACAACAGGTCTCTCCATAAAAGTTAAGCCACCACAGCTTCCTCTTTTCATTTCTATGACTCTTTTCAAAAAATCTATATTGTCACTTAGTACGTTTGCTTAAAGGTAGCAACTGTCAACATTTCAATACTCCTACTACCAAAGCTTAAGGTTTTTGGTTATTTAAAAAAAGTTATCGCAGTAGGGTCTCTGATGTAACTTTGTAGTCTTGGGTATATTGGGTACATGCGCTTTACAAAAGCCGCTTCTGGGACTACCTTTTCCTAATAGTTTCATAAACGTTAAACTGTGTACATGCATAAAATAATGGCTAGGCTTGTTCTTCAGTTTTTTATTTTGTGCTTCGCTAAGTTATGCTTTATTTTTATTTACTTGTACAATCGTAATTATTGTCTGATGTTCTGATGTTCAAGATAGCGGTAGACCTGCAACGCAAGTTGAAGTGTCTGCTGAGAAAAAAATGAGACCTCATGAAAGAAAATGCACGAATAAAGAAAGGCATTACAAGGGTCCTCAATGAAGATCAGGTACGAGCACTGGGCAGACAGAAAAATACTGGCTGCTTGTGGTGTACTCAAACAATCAAAAAAGGTTCTGAAGCTGCACTTCTCAAGTGGTTTTACCGGTTACAACCTCCTCATTTCTGAAGGTCCGCCTCTGCCTGCTGAACGTACTTTACGTGAACATACGCAAGGAGTCAAATTGAAACCTTGTATACTTGATGAAGTGTTTGAAATGATGAAGTGCTAAATTGCTGCATTTAAGCAACGCGAGAAAAATTGTGTGCTCATGATTGATGAAATGCAGCTGCACGACAAGGTTGATTACGACTCCAGCTCACAAAGCATGTGTGGCTTTAACACTCTAGGAGAAAATGTAGATAACCCAGTGTTGGCCACTGACTGCTTAGAGTTCATGATCGGCGGTGTTTGTACGCAATGAAAACAGGTAGTAGGCTACCACTTCACTGGATTGTCTTTCAAAGGAAGTGGCTGTGCAGCTGTTGTGCATGCAATCATACGGAAGTGCTCTGCTATCGGCCTTGTTGTTGTGGCCATTACGAGTGACATGGGAGCAGGGAACCGAGCTTTGTGGAGGGGGCGTGGTGTGCATGCAGAAAGAAATGGCATGCTTCCATGCTCTAACCACATCCAGATCAGCCATAAATATATATATATATATATATATATATATATATATATATATATATATATATATATATATATATATATATATATATATATATATGCGTGCTAGCAGATGTTCCCCAAATACTGAAGGACATCAGAAATCATCTCTGTACGCTACACACTATAACACTGCCGGACAACTTTCTTGAGGAACATAAGTTACCAACCAATATTGTTGACGTGTGGCCTATGGTAGAATTGACAAAGCATGAAAAAGAGAAGCCCTACAAACTGGCACTACATCTAAGTGAGATACATATTTCCCCGGGCCATTTCCACAAAATGAAGGTAGCTCCAGCAGCAGAACTGATGAGCCATAAAAACAGCATGCGTGATTGAGCAACTTGTAGACAATGGCGTGTTAAGCACCAAAGCTCGAACCACGGCCTCATTTTTTAAGCAACTAAACAGATGGTTTGCCCTGATGTGCAGTCGGTACATTGGAACCGCATTCAGCCCGTGTAAGGCTGCAGAACATGACAACGCTGTGAACTTCAAGCAGTTCTTCATGACCATCTTTTGGGGCATTGAAATGGCTGATGGTTCATGGAAACCTGTAAAACTGGCGTGTGCTTAGCACCAGTAGCATTTTGTCGTTTCAAAAAGATCTTCTAAAAGAAGTCTAACAATTTGTCCTGACTATTCGCTTCACCCAAGACAGTCTTGATAACCTCTTCTCAATGATTCGTGCAAGAAATCCTATTCCTACACCCTATCAGTGCACGATGGCTCTTCGGGTCACCAGTGTTTCTCATTACTTAAAACATGTCAAAACAAGAAGCTATGATATTGATGATGGGGCCTTTTATTTGGCTGATTATTGGTCCAAGTTTTCTATCAGTGTGACAAACGTCATTGAAGGCGCACATGAGGATGAAGTTGAAGATGTTATACCTGGCATGAGCAGCTCAGAAGAGAGTGCATTTGCATACTTGTCAGAATACCTTGCAATATCTGTGCTGACAAATAACTCAACATTGAAACCTGTGCAAGTAATCTATAATAGATCCATAAAACGATGAGAAGTCTGTACAGTGTATTCGAGCCAAGGCTTATAAAGATGGGTGCCTTGCTATCGCAAGCAAGATCCTAGTGTCTCTGTTGCAAATGTATAAAAGCATATTTGTCAAACACGCATCTTCTTTGCATAAGCAAGTAAACAGTGCAAAGTGGCTGAAAGAAATAATGATGAGTGCTACAACTGGCATAAATTTTTCACATTGCCACAATATTAAGGCTCACATAATACAATGATTTACTGTCCTTCCTATCAACATCCATTTAAAGGATCTCAGTAAGAACATGAAAGGCAAAAGGCAGCTTTAGAAGCCAGGAAATTTGCAAGTGCGTCAACAGCCCGTAAGGCTGCACAAGAGAGCCCGTCTCTCTCTGTTATTCAGGCATAAAGTTTTTCAGTAAAAAAAAAGACCAGCTGTTTTTTCTAGTACGTAACAGATCATGTAGGCTTTGTGCACTGAAACCTATCAGTATTAGCTGGGCATGGAAAGTTTTTTGTGAGATCGGCAAGTTTATTCAATAGTATTTCGTTAGATCGAGTTCTAACAGTATTATCATGAAAATGTTTTGGTGAGCTGGTTGGTTTAGAGGAGACTGTTTATTGAACTGCCTTCATTTGCCCTGCATGTTATCTAACACAATGTTAGTTTCAATCAAAATTGCAGTAGTTGTGCTTCTCCTACACAAATGAGGTTACTGAAGATTCATTAGGAGTGGTGCGGTCTCTGCGTTAAGAAGAGGTCAGCGCTGCATGATGAGGTATGACGTCATCCCATTGAAGGCAGTTGAAAGGGGTATCATCCTTCCACTGTTCAGGTAAAAGTGCTATGTGTTTGTGTTTTGACCTATTTTTGACTGATTACACCTAAGTTAGGAAGCGATTATACTGTTTTCAAAACATTGCATTGTTTTTGTGTGCGAAATGCTCTGCATCAGTCATGAATCTAAATCCTTAAGGTTGATTTTAACCTATTTATAGCTGTGCAACTAGTCAGCTCTCAGCTGAATTGTGTCATATTCTAACAGATGTGTTTGCTCCGGTGTTCGTCGCTCCAGTGACGAATTCAATTTAATGCGTTTTTTTTCTGGGCACTCACTATGGTGTTCACTTGGTTTGTGGTGCTTGCATTCACCTGGTATTTCTTTTTGCTTACCCGATGTAGCTCAGTCTCTCTTTTTTTGCAAATATTCACCACAGACTGGGGCTTCCTTCTTGTCTTGTTTGCTCTGGACTCATTGTATTTGCATATCCTTATCCAAAATGATGAAACGCAACAAACTTGTTTTATCATACTGCATACCGTTTTTTATATATCTCCTTTTATTCCAATGACCTTGCATTTGTTTACATCAGCTATTAGTGATTTCTAATTGGTGTAGTGGATCACTGTTCTTCATATTTGTATTAGTATGTTTCTCATCCAATTATCTTGTCTTTGTTTACACCACTTTTTAGTGATTGCTGATTGGTGTAGCGGGACACTGTCCTTTCTATCTGTATTGGTCTCTGCTGCGTTGTTTTTGTATTTGTTTATATAAACAATTCGTTATTAGTAAAGTAGAGGAATGTTCTTTATGTTTGTATTAGTCTGTTTTTGATCTAGTGTTATTGTATTTGTTTACTTCAGCTCTTAGCGATGGCTGATTGGTGTAATGGAGCACTGTTCTTCGTATTTTTATTTTTGTGAACACCTGTTACATTTCCAGATGATGCTTAAGCACATGTGGCAACAAAAGGATTGTATCCTACTTTCTTCCCTTACTTATATCACCAGTGCCCTATTTCAGAAATGGTAATAATTTTTAATGAGGAAAGTTGGGGATGCATTCAGTAAAAATTTAATAAACGGTGATGCTGGGCACAGCTGCTTACTTTTAGGCATGTAAATAAAGAAAAATTTCTCAGGAGCTCAGGAAATCCCTTTTGACATAAGTACGTTTGCACAGTAAATTTTGGACGAACCTTCATCCAATCAAGGGCTGTTTATTTCGAGCCATCCACTCCTTTTTGGATGATAGTCCCCTTTCCATGGCCCTCCAGTGAGCATGAAGCAAGTTCAAAATTATCGAATGAAGTGAACACCTCGCGGGTTAGTTCACGAAGACCATACGAGTGATAAATGTTCTACTTTCGCTGCACACCAGTGAACACTTCAGGTGCTGACGCCCACTGCAGCAAATGCACCGTATTCTCGGTAAGCGACGCCAGTTAATGTTTTACTCACCAGCGTTGAAAGCTTCAAATAAAGCACACACTAAACATCGTTGTTGTCATATAAGCGGCGTTGCCAGGAGAGAGTCACCGCAAACAGAGGTCTGTTGAGTTGAAGACATCAACTTTTGTATCAAACATTTAATACCGAATGTTACATACGTGTCGAAATGTGGAATGAACAATTCATCCGGTGCCTAACAGACTCTTATTATTTCGTTCCTATAAAATCAACTGCCGCAGTAATGGAAGTGGTCATACCGTGAGGTGCAAGGCAGAGCTGCAGATATACCGCGTATCAAAAAGGCAAGGAGGAGTTCATTTACAATGGCCCACGCCGTCCTACTTTTGACGTATGTTAAGCTAGCCTTCCTTAAAGCTACTTTTTTGTGAACATAATCAAATATTCCTGTTAAGCTAGCCTTCTTTAAAGCTACCTTTTTGTGAACATGATCAAATATTCCTGCTACCAGCAGTTATTTTTTAAGATAAAACCTAGCGAGAGGCGGAGCGTGGCGGTCGCACGCCAACGCGGGCTAACAGGTGCCATGGCACAAAATGGCGGATAGTGCCGCTGATAAATTTGGATGCTTGTTGGCTCCGCCCCTCCACCGAACTCTTTGAAGGAATATACGGCTCTGACCCCGACGACCGGCTGCAGTGTACCACTCTGTGAGCATGCGCCTGTGCCGCTGCAATGCTTCATTTTCGAGCGAACAGCTTGAAAAGCTATTGCGCCAGCACTATTGCACTGTGGTTTAGAAAAATAACTTAATCCGAAGGCCGCTCTAACATAAAAAGCGCTAGAAAGCGGAGAAAATCCCTGCAAAGCGGACTGCGCCTATACATAGGGTATGGAAGTGGCAGTGCTGTGCCGTGATGGCAACTCCCTCGTCCTCATTTTTAGATGCGGAGCATCTAATACTCGAGGCTTGTAGTGCGGCGCCGTCCGCGAGCTTCCTCCTCCTTCTTCCACCATCTGTGCATCCCTTCCTCCTCTACACACCGCGCGCGCTTCACTCCTCCACCATCTGTGCACCCTTCCTCCTCTACACACCGCGTGCCGGCAGCTGACGCGCGCGCATGCGCCGTCGCGCTTCGAGAACATCGGCAGCTGACGCGCGCGCATGTGCCGTTGCGCTTCTCCCCCTTCTCGAACATTCGACAGCTGACAGTGCATGCGCCGTCGCGCTGTATATATACTCAAGGTCGGTGCTCGCTCGCTCAGTTGCCGCTCATTGGTTGGTTTGTACGGCGCGTCGACGTCCGAGGTCACAATGATCGACGTCCCTTCGACCAGCGCCGGCCAAAGTGTTGGCGGAACCGCAACCAAGTCGTCGTCCGAAGACAAGGCAGCGCGGAGAAGAGCTCGCGACGCCGAACGTAAACGTCGGCGTCGAGCGGAAGATGCTCAACTTAGAGAACGTGAAGCCGCTGAGAGACGTCAGTGTCGAGCAGCAGCACCGGATTCAGCCGCTTTGAAACGTAAGCGTCGACAAGAGGACCCGGACTTTCGAAAACGGGAAGCCGAGTGCAAGCGTCGGCGACGAGAGGCCGATCCCGATGCTGCCCGCGAGCGCAAGCGCGCCGAGGTAGCGGCGTGGCGCGCCAAGCAGTATGCCACGCCCAACGCTCGCTTCAAGCGCGACTTCCTCGACCGAAGCTTCGGCCACACCTGCAAGGTGTGTGATCGTCTTTGTTTCGATAACAACTTAACTCGGATCGGCAACATTCAGAACAACTCCAAAGCGTTGTCGGTTCTTTGCGATACGTTTGGAAAGGGCACCGACTATGCCGACTACGTCGTGTGTGCTACGTGCAAGCAGTCGTTGATTGCCGGTCGAGTTCCCTCGGCTAGCGTGAGTTACGCTCCGCATCCTCCTCAGTGTTCCCCCGAGGGAAGCTGCAGGCAATTTTTTGGTTGCGTGCTGGGTTTTGGGTGAATGCTAGTGCTGGTTGACATGCACCCATTGATAAGTCCGTGCTGCGACGATACCACGCTGCCAAAATCTGCAGCAAAACAAAACAAAACAACAAATTGGCACGCGTCCATCTGTGTGACCGTCAATGCGTCCATCCACCCGCCTGTGCATGCGTCTGTTCGTGCGTCCACACGTCCATGCGTGCGTCCGTCCCTGCGTTCGTCCATGCATCGGGCCCTGCGTCTGTCCATGCGTCCATCCGTACGCGCAGCCATCCATACGTCCGTCCATGCATCTGTCTTTGTGTCCGTTCGTCCATCTAGTCAACACTCCAAGTACCACGAGCTCGCACCTTTTCAGCATATATTCCGCATATAGAAGCACCGCCATTCGGCGGGCATTCCAAGGGCTAAACAAGAGGTGGCACACGCACATTTTCTTATGGCTTGCGCTTCGTGTCTACTTCCCACCAGTTAATTTCCTCCTTCTCGACTAGCTTCTACACTAGCTAAAGAGGGAGGATGTTTCAGGTTCGGAATGGGTCCCCTCGATGACTCGAGTGCACGGTGGCAGCGCGAAGGAAGAGCTGTAGTCCGGTGAAGAGACACTTTATTGCTGCCTCAGGCGTTTGCCCGAGTCCAAGCCCGAACCTCCGCTCTCATTTCAGATTCAAACATCCTCTTTTCAACCCTCGGTTAAAAAAAAGAGTCTTCACAAACACCAATCACATGTTGGGACTCGCATCATCACAACCAATCGCAGAAACACCTTCATAACAGGCACTGCATTGGTTAAAACCTTGTTACCAAATAAAACACGCAAAGGAATAAGTTCTGCGCGTGACACTCTCTCCCATGCCAGGCCGTGATGCTTCCATCAGCAGCCGTTCTCACGCTCGAGCCCCGTCAGTTCTCTCAATAATTGTTTCTTCGTAGAAGCCTCCCTAAGAGCAGTGGGTACACCGTTGGGCTCCGTGCGCTTACCAGGTGTGCATGCGACAGCGAGGCGCCCCGCCATCCTAGCAGCACTCGGTAATGACGTACAGCGGGGTGGTTATGCTCGTCTCTCTGCCGCCACTATTTCTCGGTCAGCCAAGTGGTCGCGTCCCCGAGTCATTCCCAATGGCAGGCGCTTCATGCCAACAGTGGCGTAAACCCAGACGGTGGCACCTGACCTGCCTCTTGCCAGACGCTTTTCCGAGTAAGCCTTCTCCTAATCCCAAACGGGGGCGACCTTGACGGCTGCGCTCGTGAACCGTGCGAACGAAGAAGCCTCCTTTCTTTCCCGTGCTCGGATCTTCGGCGTTCGCCTTCGCGGAACCGATCAGCTTCGTTAGTTGACGAGACGGGAGCTGGCTACGCGCTCTGCATCAGCCGCATTGTTTGCGCTACACGCAACACGGTGGTAATTGCTGCCTCATACTAACTCCTCCCCCCTCAAGAGTGTTACTGGATACTCGATGTTCAGTAACGCGATACAAAAACAAACAAAAAATTGCTCAAAATAAACTCAGTCTCGGTGCGTGCACATGCGTGAACCAATTATCACTTCCATCTCAACAGGAGAACATTCACGTCCTTCTGCGAAATAGACACAGCAACACATATACATAATGCCTTCAAATAGTCCTCCGAAAGAAAACACTCTCGTAATGCAAAACACTGAATAACGCAATCAGAATGCTTAGTCCACAGCGCCAGTCAATTCACATTAGCTTGTCACAGGGCACACGCACCGTGCATAGTCCGGTGGCATATTGTCTTTTAAACTCACAACACCACATGGTCATTGTCCCAACACGGGAGACCCACTCCATGCGCCCTCCAGGCCCCGCATGACACACTCAATGAGAGCAACGGACCCAGCGGTATAGGTATACCTAAGTCTCAACGGATTGCACCAAGAAAAAAGTTGATAATGAACTTACTTCACAAACTCTACCCTATTTTATCTACAAATTTATTCCTACACAACACACAAACTACACCTAAAAGTAGTCCTACCACTTAGAGGCAAGCTCGCATCTCAACAACAACGCAACGAAAAATGCGTGGTACATCAAACAAAACATTTTCACATCATGCCGGAATTATTAGTCTCTGCGACCCACTTAACTTCACGCATAACACGTAAACATGGGATGCAAAGTTCTGTAAAGTCATTCACTTCACAGAAACTACTTCAGTGGCTACACCACAACAACAACGAGAAAAACTGAACTATATGAAACGAACAAAACATCTTATTGCCACTAAACAGTTACAAGTACTGAATCCAATAATCAGCCGAAACTCGAAAGAGCATCAGCAGCCTCACTCTTACGAACAATTTTTGTTTCACATTCACCTCTCATTCAACTGAGGACGCCTCCCATTGCGACTGGTTCGGCCTCTCACTGAAAAATGCGACTGATCATTCCTCTGTTCCCAATCTTTGGGAGAGGAAACCTCTCATTGCCGTTTGCAATGCGCTCGTAGCCAAACGAAAAGCTTCGCTTGGGTTGGTTGCCGT